ACTCAATGAAGTATCGATTTTGATGCAACATTGCAATTGAGAATCAACTGATAGTTCCACATGGTAGCACTGATATTGTTAGTAGTTATTCCATGTGATTTCGCAATACTGATGGGAATACACAGTCGGTGTCATATTGCTATGAAAACTCGAATGAAAGGGTCACTTTGTAACTTGCAAACAATTTCAGTAAGTTTGTCTGTTGCATTTACAACACGATTATATTCAGCAGCAGAATCGATAAAATATTGTATTTTCATCTAACAGAAGAAAGTTTCTCCAGATATTTGGCAATATTTTGTTCTATCACATGTTCAGTTGGCAAGATATAACTATGTGGGCTTGGCAACTGCTGATCATGCAATCATTCAAAGACGTATTCTTCATTGGCTGATATCCACCCTCAACTGTCTGGTTAAAAACATATTTGTTCGTTCTTGTGCGCCTTCTTTGAATTTTGTTAACAAACCATAATCTCGAAAGATGTTTTTCTATTGCTATAACACGACATTGCTCTTGTTTCACTATGTTCGATGAATCGATGAATTTGTTTTATTATCATTTCACAAAATCTCATCTCCCATGAAATGTTGATCCTCAAGCAGAGACAGATCTGTCTAAGAGATAATCATCACTGAAGATAAAATAAGATAGCTACAAGCCAAAGAAATAAAAAATTTGCCTGTCATATGTTACTGCCGTAGAAGAAGTATAGTGTATAACTTGCACAGAATGCTCATTTCTCACACGCCTACGGCTCATGCTGCAAATTACATTCTCGTGGGTAGTTATCATATCATTTCGTGCTCATTTATCAATATAATATTCTTTATCTGCCATTTCACATGTGGCTTTCTGAATGAAAGAATGTGACATTTAATGAATCTGGATGGATGAATGTGATGGATTGTTAATTTCAAAATCTCATAAGCCACTTTCGAGCTATCTGCTTGCATTTTAGCCATCAACAGTCTGTCTGTCAAAAAATCCTCGCATTCTTCAAAAATAAATAGATGCTATTCTCACTTATGATATCACGAGACCTCCAAAACTTCTTGGATATCAATTAATTATTATTCGCTGAGAAAATTTCACACTGAAATAATATATTGAAAATATACCTACATGATTATAGTAAGCTGTTGATAAATTGTTGTTATTTATCGACTCATAAAATCAACTTAGAATAATCTGAAGTTGAAGGTGAATGTCATTCAACCTATAAACGTCTAAAAATATACAGTGTTATTTGATGCTTCGTCCCCCAAGGATGAGGAAAAATTTCCAAGAAATTCGTTCAGTTGCTCTGGTATGACGATACTAAATACATGCTTTAAATTTATCGAAAATGTTTGGTGTGGAATTTTCATGATAATATTATGTATCTTATACCCACGTTGATATCGAAATTTGGCCTTTTAGCGAAATCACGCTATCAGAAAACAACATCTGAACTCTGATACACATAGGTCAGTCAGCTATCCGTCTAATACATATTCCTGATGTCAAGGTTACTATGGTATGATAAAACCTTCGCGTATTATACAGCCGAATCATTTGAGATAATTCCTCAGTGGTCCTTCATAGGTTATTGGCATTTCTGTTGAAGTTTCTAACTTCTATAATGACAATTTGACTACACAAAATAACGGAAACCATTCATCACATGATATAAAAGACCTACCCATTATCATATCCATACCCTGTGAAACGCAAAAATCGCCGACAAAGCGATTCGCTGCTTTGCATTTCGGCCGTCGCGTCAATATGTTGTTAACATCGTTTCAAGTATTCTCGATCATTCCTGAATACTGCAAGATAGCAAGACTCTTGTGAATGTAAAGGGCAAAAGCATTCTATACAGTTTGGTTCATGGCCGAGTATGACCCATTATTCTAGCGTAGGTTCTTATCTTCAATCGGAGATGACTTCTTCTATTTAATTTCAAATTCTCGTATTCCTCGACGACTCACCGAAATGAAAACAGCATTCGACATAGTGAATAGTCCTCCAACTTTGATTTCTATGGGCTTCATCGCTTGGGATGAGAAGTTGAGCAGGAGCTTCTTGAATTTTAAATCGCAGTCGATCCAGGGAGTGTTGAAAGCAGAAGTGAATATATTCCTGCTCTGAAATCATCAATCGCAGAATTACTCATTGTATTCAGGTGAGGATATCACAACTTCACATGATTCACGAACCTTCTCGATAATTTCGTTACCAAACCAACAATACATATACTGCTGTATGAGCATACAGTTTAGTAATGAAGACAGCACAAGGAATTTAGCAGTATCTCCTTCAAATGTAACCTGCAAAAAAATAAAAGTTTCAATACATTGATAATGAGAAGAAAATCTGCCATTCACGAACGAAATATGATTTCATATCATACAGGGTGTTTCAGACTTGTGATGACGAAAGAGAATGAACAAAATATGAGGAAAAGTTCATATGAACATGGGTCGGAGAATGCTTCGTTTCCGAAATATAGGATGTCAACTTTGAGAAAATCATCTGTATTGAAATAATATTCCTTCCGAAATTCGATGATACATACGTATCGATTTCGCGGGTCGGTCCACTCAACGACCTACTTCCCAAGTGTACTAACTTGACCAGTTCTTTTCTTCATACTGCGGTCAGTCCCACTTTTTTGATCGGCTCGGGAACTGAAAATACTCTCACGATAGCATCATTTCTACACATCAAACACCCTTTCTCAGGAAGTGTGAATAGGGCAGTAGGACCAAACTATGCACGCATGAGTGGACTCAAGATTACCTCGTCCACTAGCTCGACTCAGCTGCCCCCGAGTGGCCGTCACTATTCGAGTGGGTATCGCTAGCCTCGATATCTCCCAGAATAATTATTATTGAAAGAAGAGACGAAACTGTTCGGTATTTTCTCGAAGAAAGACACCTTTCTTAGTGCGACAATTCTCAAGACAATTTGAAGACACTTCTCAAGACAATTTGAAGGATGACTTCTTCCATTTTTCATGGGAGCAGCTCCGTTACCGAAATATCGAAGTATATGTTTTCAAGTAAGGTAATTCCTTATTTTTGCAATATTCCTCTTCTCCAAGCATTCTCAAAACTGACTGGCACTGACAACCGAATGAATTTTTCTTTTAGGCTCTCTGAGAGAAAATTTTTAGAACGCAGTGATATAATGGGACGAGTCATCTGATTTCTCCTGAGTACATTAAATGGCTCATATTTCTATTTCATAGAAACGACGACAGAAGATACCAAAAAATCTAGAAAAATGGATGTACCACCTCCTCAATCAATTTACAGACAGTATTGATGGGAGTTTAACTCATCAATGATCAAATGGAATTATCAATTCTGCTCGACAGAAGCGTAAGAGAATTCATGGCTTCTGACGACCAGTGTATATCACTTATGAAGATCCCACATAAAAAACACACAAGTGTATCATTGGCATCTTCTTCGCTTTGAAATCTCACCTCAATAATAACGTAAGCAACAAAACAGGCGTCTCCATGAGAAACTAGACGAAAGTAAATTTTTTGGAACCAAAAATTCATTCATCAAAATAAAAATCAAATCCGAAGAGTGTCAACACACTCTGTCCTGATACCCATTCCTGGAGATTTTGTTGATTCGAATGATCCTAGCGAGCAGTGTTTCATCAAAAATAATCCCATTTGATTGTATTTAGCAAATCATTGGAAGCTCTGTAGATCAAGCAGATCTCAAAAACCCAACTCAATAATTACGAAAGAGGATGCTCTCATCAGAAGTATTTTTGAGTTGCATCGACCTTGATATTTTTGTTCTCTGCTTTCACCTTCTCCATCACACCAACCTGAATCCTGAATGGTCCATGGAAGTTATACGAATATTCACTTTGTATATACAGAACAAAACATTTCATTCAGCTATTGGTCTCAACAAATCTTTACCAAAACATTTCTGAAAATAGCGCTTCGATGAGAGCTGTTTCTTGTAAGAAATACGATACCTAATATTTTGAAAAATGATATTTTATTTGTTGTTATCGAACAGGTCGAAAATTATTGCTGAACCATTTCGAGGTATATATTCTTTAGTGATATAGGAATATGACTAAAAAACTTCCCGAACAATTTTCGTGAAATGGGAAACATGGAAAATTCTTCAATATCTTCTAGATTTTTGAAAGAGAAATATTCATTTTCAGAATGAAAACACGGCATCAGAATATGTTGAAATATCGCGAAAATATTCAATGATCCATTCAGTGAAAAATGTGCTTGTTGCGTTTGTTTCGAACAGTAGTTAGATCCATCAAACAATCGAAAATCATCCCGAACAAACCCTGAACAGCATCTATATGCATAAGGCGATACTAACACTGATATTCTGTGCATTTAACTATGATGAAGTTATCTGTAATAATTGTATATTCAGTGTATCTACAGAATACTGTAATGATGGAATACGATTCTGATAGAATACGGTTTTGAAGAAATACGGTTTTGACGTAATACGGATCTGACGAAATAAGGTTCTGACGAAATATGGTTCTAACGAAATACGGTGATGATGGAATACGGTTCTGATGAAATACAGTTTTGATGAAATATGTTTCTGATAGAATACAGTTCCGATGGAATACGGTTCCGATGAATTACTGAAACTATGAAATACAGTGCCGATGAATTGATGTGGCAATGGAATACAGTTCCTATTCGATACGATTTTGATGAATTATATTTCTGATGTTTTACTGAAGCGACGAATTACGGTACTGATAATTTACTGAAGCTATGGAATGAGGTTCTGTTGGATTAGCATTCCTATATATTACGGTGCTGATAGAATACCCTATCGATAGAATTAGATAATGATAAATTACCGTGATGATGAAATACTGTTCTGATAAATTACTGTTATGATCAAATACGGTTCTTTTCGAATACCATTCTGATGGATTACATTTTGACGATTCACGTTTTGTTATTATACATTTCTACAAATAACGGAGCTATGTTTTACAAAGCGATGAAAAACGTGCTTACAGAATTTTTTTTTCATTGCTTGGAGCGCACGAGAGGGAATCCCTATAATGTTCAAAGAACATCGTGCGTTCCTAGGGAGGATAGGGACAGGAGGTAGGTATTGGAATTTTTTTTGAACTTCTGGAGATTATTTATTGTTGGTACCTACGAATTACCATTCTGATGAGATATTTTTTGACAAATCACATTTTGATACATTATATTCTGACGTTTTGGATGTTTCCTACCAATTTCAGCTAGTTTCATCAACAAAATATTATAATCAATTTTATCAAATGCCTTGCTAAAAGATAGATAGATAGAGTCATTTTGAATACGATTATCGAGTGAATCTGATATAAACTGATTATAAATCATGAGATTGGTTTTTATGGATATTTTAGTAAAGAATCCATGTTGTTCTTACAGAATTATGTGTTTGAGGCTGTCGAAGATAAGATCAAATAATATGCTCTCGAGAATTTTACTGATAATACAAAGTTTACTGATACCTTTATAATAAGTGACATCCCTTTTGTCTCCAGGATTCTTGTTTATTGGCACAAGAAGCGCAGTTTTACATAGATCTGGAAATTCACCTTCAGAAATAGATTCATTATATATCAACGTAAGAGGAGTGCCAAGACTATAGGAGCATTATTTTACAAAGTAAGCTGTAATATTGTAATAACCACATCCTTCACTATCATGGAGTTCAATTTGTTGAAATGAGAAAATCTGAATTTGTTGAAAACTATTTCCCCAGTGGGTTCTACTCTATCCAATAATGTAGAGTTGGGAGTATTATTATTTGGTGAACGGGTTTGTTTAACAGGTTCATGAAAGCTCTTGAAATATTTCGAAAATATGTGAGTGATCTCAGAACCACCTGACGCTTCCTCACCCTCATGAATGACAAAAATAACTGATTTTTTCGAACTGAAGGAACACTAATTTATATCGAACTTATAACTACTATTCATGTGAAACGATCCATATCACGCGGTATATAACTGTCTCTCTGACACTCGCTGTTCGACTGACTGACGGCAGTTGCCTGGCCGTTTATATATGAGATCCCTTGGCAGGCTTTGGTTTGAGAACGTTCTCAAATGATCTTCTGCCTTCTTCTTCATGTTCTAGAAGCTTCTTAGAACAATTCCTCTCTCTCTAATCGTTCCATCGATTGTTTCCAGAACATTCCAGAAATTTCTGTCATGTAATTTGTCACCACGGCATATATTATTACAATATTTTCTCCCAAAAGGTTATACAGCACGACAGGTATCTTCTCAAACTCTCCACTCTCGAAGTTCTGGCCCTGATCAGAGTGAAGTTCCAATGGCACTCCTAAAGGACTCTTGAGTTGATTCATTAGGACATCAGCGACAGTTGCGGCATCCTGGTTCGGGATCGCATACGCTTCTACCCACTTGCTGAAGTAGTCCATGCAGACAAGGATGTATATATTCCCATTATTAGTCACTGGAAACGGCACCGCAATATCCATGGCAATCCTCTCGAAAGGGCTCCAAACATTGTACTGTCCCATGGGTGCCCTTGGTTTACGATGAGGCCCATTACTGGCAAAGCACTCGGTGCATTAACGATACCACTTCCTGACGTCGCCACTGCAGTTTACCCAGTAGAACCGCTCTCGTACCCGCTGCAGTGTCTTGCTCACTTCTAGATGTCCCCCTGAAGTTCCATCATGTACATATTCGGGTACTTTCGACACTTGGCTCCTAGGAATTACCAACTGCATCCGATTATCCGACAGTTAACATTAGGAGAGATTCAAGAAGCTGAAAAATCATTGATGAAATTGATTCAAAGTAAAGCTTTCGTATTCATATTGTTCAACACCAATTCCGAAAGCTCTCGAACATTAAACTACACCAGGAGTTCATCTTTGCCGGAACGAGACTTCAAACTATCGATTACCTTAGGGTAGTTCTCCGCAATGGAAGGATAACTCTTCACCAGCTGGTAAGCACGAGATTTCGGTATGGTGGCGTGTATCAGATATTGAAATTTGTCTCTGTTTTCCAAACTCTCATCGTCATTAATTGTCTTGAATTGGCTCCAAAACAGCAGCCAGTCCTTGATATCTCCACCAAATTTGGTGAATTCTATTTTAGGAAACTTCAAAACTGACCTCTGATGACTGGTATGACTCAAAACACTTGGAGCGGCACTAGGATTATCGACAAAGCAGTCCTTGCTCATACTACGTTCTACTCTGAACTTCAGAGTGTCGTACTTGCTCATTGATTCATCAGCTTTTCCAACTTCAAGGTC